GGCTGGATATAGAATCCTAGGTTGACAATCATTTTCCTTCAAAATGTTTAAGGCATTTCTCCTTTGTCTTCTGGTTACCAGTATTGATGTTAACCCAAGGTTAAATAGGGATAGTGTTGACATGTAGTAGGGTTGTTAACCATTGTCATAGGACAACACGTGTACTAACTGTTTAATGAGGAACTATTTTGTTCTGTAAACCCTCATTCAAAGTGAGAATAGCAGCACAACTGGAAGAACGTAATCTATGTCACTGAACTGTGCATGTAGAAATTTTTGAAATGGTGTATCTTTGGCTATGTATAGTTTCACCAAAAACAAAAGGTCAAGAAGGGAGAGGGTTGATATGTCATGGGGTTGTTAACCAAGGTCATAAAACAATATGTGTACCGACTGTTTAATGAGAAACTATTTGTTCTGTAAACCTTTACCTAAAGTACAATTTTTTTAAAAAACGGAAGAAAAAAAAGATTAATGAGCTAGACTTGTATTTTTGAGCTGATATCATGGCAAAGATTATCTAAAAGAGGGCTATTGGATGACTGGAAGGGGCACAATTTCAGTGCTTGCCATAGGCACCATTTTCTATAGATTCGTCACTGGCCATACTGGGTTAATAGAAACTGCTCAGAGGCGCCACATGCCCAGGGCCAGTGGAATACCTGCCATACCTACCATACCCTAGTTATGCCCCTGAAAAGCTGAAAAGCTGTGGTCAATGCTTACAGCCAGCTGCGTGTGTTCTACGTGTTAACCAAGTGCAGTGTGACATGCTCATAAACTGGCCTGACTAAAAGGAGAGTTTCTGGCTCCCAGAAGCTTGAATTCTGAAGGTCAAAATTCTTGAACCATGACCTGAGACAAGTCACAGCCTCATGGTTTATTTCTTAAGAATCCTCGTAGACACAAATATAGGCACAAACTCTGTGAAAAACAGGAAGATCAAAAGACAAAGCATACATCTTAGCAATGCATTTTTGATCACGAATTTTTATTTATGTTCACTCTCATATTCCAAAAAGGAAAAATGAAATTATGCTGGCAAAAACTTCCAGTTCTGCCAAGATGGAGTAGTCCTATTCCCCATAGATTCTCCATCTTACAACTAAAAGCTCCCGGACACAACACATGAATAAGCCCAGGAAATCTCTGGAAGGTGAGAAGAAGAGGGTAGCTGCCTAGGGGCCTTGGGACTTGAGGAATGACACTGTTGGTGCATTCCCTGAGTTGCCTTATTGTCTCCCATATATCCCAGACAGTGCTTGTAGAAGATTAAATGAGATCCACCATCTCATAATATAATATCCATAATTTCCAGGATACAATAGAAAATCACTCATCATACCAAGAACCAGAAAAATCAAACATGAATGAGAAAAAACAATCAACCATCATCAAGATGAATCAGATGCTGAATTATCAGGCAAAGATTTTAAAACAACCATCATAAAAATGCTTCAACAAGCAATTACAAGTTCTCTTGAAACAATTTAAAAATTAGAAAATCTCAGCCAAAAGAAAAAGTTATGAAAAAGAACCAAGTGAAAATTATAGAACTGAAAAATCTAATAGCTGAATTTTTTTTTTTTAACTCTCTGGATGGGCTCAATAGCAGAGTGAAGATAGAATCTGTGGACTTGAGAATAGATCAGTAGGATTTACTCCATCTGAAAAACAGCAAGAAAATAGATAGGGGGAAGAAAACGACAGAATCTAGGGACCTATGAGACAATAACAAAAGATCTAACATTTAGATCATCAGATTTCCAGAAGGAAGAGAGAGAAAGAAACTGAAAAAGTATTCAAATAAATAATAGCTAAAAATTTCCCAAATCTGATGAAATTATACTGGCAGAGAGAGATTCACTGGAGCACATCTTGGTGTTTCCATGCATGATGGTAACAGTGAAAGGGAAATTGCACCAACCACGGCCTGACAAGAGCGTAATAACCAGGGGCTTAGTCCCCTCAAAGATGAAGATCTGGGTCACCACGTTGAGCAAGCAACCCAGACCAGGAGGAGTGCTGAATGGGGGTGAGGGAAGTCTAGAATGGGTGCTAGAGGAGGGAGGTGATGGATAACAATTATGGTCTTGGGACCAACTACAGTAGCAAGGACTGTGCTTGTCTAACTCTTCAGTTTTAAGTCTTTTTTTATATATAAGTGACAGAACAGAGTGCATTAAATGCTGGGCATCAATGAATCAAAGCAATACAAGGGGAAAACTGAAGCTGTCAGTGACCTCCCAACATATCCCATGGGCATTTTTCATGTCTGTGCATGTAGGCCCAACTTCAACTCTTCAGCTCTCATCACCTGCAACTCTTTGCCTGAAGGCTCTTTCTGGCAACTGGCGCATGCATAGTAAGCCTTGGGTAACAGAGAATTAATTCCCCCAGTGAGAAACTCTCAATCAGTGACTGATAGGCATTGGTGAATGTGGTAGCCAGTCAACAAGATGGTCCCAGTGATCTCTGCCATCTCTGGTAGGCTGTGATCTCTGGCACTTATGTCCTTGAGTAATCAATTCCCTTCTACACTGTATCAGGGTTGATCTATGTGGTCAACAGCAGAGGTGATGATTTGTCACTTCTGAGGCTAGATCATTAAAAACTGTTCTCTCTCTTCCCAGATCACTCTCTCCTGCTGGATGAATCTCTCCTGCTGGATGACTCTGGAGGAAACCAGCCACCATGTCATGAGGACCTCTATAGAGAGAACCATGTGGTAAGGAACTGAGGCTTCCTGCCAACAGCCATGTGAGTGAGCCATCTTGGAAGTGCAACCACAAGCTGTAGTCAAGCCTTCAGATGACTTCTTCTTGATTGTAACTTCACAGAAGACCCTGAGCTAGTACTATGCAACTAAGCTGCTCCCGAATTCCTGGCCCACATAAACTGTGAAATAAGAAATGTTTGTTGTTGTAGCCAACAAGTTTGGGACAATGAATTATGCAGCAATAAATAACTAATATTGTGGGTGAATAAGTAACCCAATTTTCTCACTCCTCTAGCAGGATCACTCTAAGTTTGTGTTCTACTGGCTCCAGGGCAGGGTTAAGTTCCAGTTGTGCCCAAGAGTAACTTTTTTGATAATTTATCATCTACTGGCTTTCTTCCCTTCATTGTCTCAATTTCTCACTCTGCTACTGGCTTTTCTAAAGATCACCTCTCAAATAACTACTTGCACTCAAACACATGCCTCAGGGTCTGTTTTTGGAAAACCTAACCTAAGACATTGTCCCAGACAGTAGTTCCCCTTTCTTTGATATTTCCTGCTCCCAAGAAATTTACTGATATCATAACTATATATATATACATGTGTGTATATTCATACTATACATATATAAATACATATATATATATATGAGAATCTATACATACTAAGACTTTGAGTAAGGGAAAGACACGGTGGGGAGGGAGTATTGTAATTCTTTCCCATCTTTTTCCTATGCCTAGACATTTTTACACAGCTGTAATTATTCTGTATATTTAATTATGCATCCAAGTCCAAAGCTCCTAAACCTCATTTCTAGCCTGTCTTATAAATCCCAAAAATATGTTAAGATCATGTTAATTTCTCTAGGATGCACATAATGAAGACAGCCTTACAAAATTGGTGTCCTGGTGGCTCAGTGATCAAGAGCTCAGACTGCTAACCAAAAAGTCAGCAGTTTGAATCCAGCAGCCACTCCTTGGGAACTCTATGGGGCAGTTCTACCCTGTCATATAGGGTCACTATGAGTTGGAATCGACTTGACGGCAATGGGTTTGGTATGGGTTACATAATTAGTCAGAATACTTAACATCTCATTCTGAAGCATTTGCATTTGAATTTTCAATGTTCCGTGTCTCGTTAATAAAAGAAGAAAAAAAAGTTAGGATTTACCATAATTAGCTCCCCCAGAGCAAAGGAACTACCCCATAGAAAAACTCCATCTCGCAGCCTTAGATCCACAAAATACAAACAGGATCAGTGGCTTCACTAGGGAGGTACAGGGAGGTTAGGACTGCACGAGGTGACACTGTTTGAGGGGGTGACACCAAAATAACTGTCTATAACATTTTTGTGCAGTGTTTCAGCAGAAATTTATTATTTTTTATGAAAATATGTCTGTAGTTACTTGTAAGAACAAAAACATTTCTCATAAGCCCAGCTTACATGTACCAGTATGCCTACAAGGCTAAAACTCTATGCTACTTTACTTTTTAAACCTTCTAATGCACTCCAGTCAGAGGTTTCATTATTACCCAATTACAATGACACTTCGAAAAACATGGTTTCATCTGCACACGGTACAAGCACCCGCTGTTGTTTCCGTTGCTGCCAGTGTTTTTATAGTTGCTGATTTTGTTTAGCTACAACATTGTGGTCATTAGTATTCGTGAACCTGTATCAATAATAACTTTTTTGAGAATGAAGCAATAATTAAAGGAAAAGAAAGCGTAATATACGGGAATTATGATTTATGAGTAACATTAGTACAAAAAACATTACAAAAGATTCTGTATGGTCTGGTACAGGAGGAGATCCGTGGAGGGGGGGTGACACCGTGAGTTACCCCACTGGGTGACATCAACTCTAGTGACCCCACTGGTCAGGATTTCACCTTCCACAAACCAAAGTTAGAGAAATACTGAGATCCAGTCCCAGAGACTGTGCCACATAACACTTAGCAAAAGTTCAAAATTAAAACAGAAATTAGTTAACATAGAGCTTACTATCTGCCAGCATTGTTCTAAGTTACACACTATACATACAAACTCATTCATAACTCACAACAACTCTGTGAGACAAGTACTATTTTCATCCTCATTTTATGGATGAAGAAACTCAACCAAAGAAAGATAAAGTAACTTGCTCAAGACCGCCCAGCTGGAAACCGGCAATTCAAATCCAGAGAGTCTGGTTCCAAAGCTCCCAGTCTTAATTCATTTTGTAAACATAGTTTACAGTAGGTATCCACTCAGGAAATATCACTTCTCACTACTGTGGTCACCTTTTGAATTTGGTGCAGCTGAAGAGGCTTCATAGTCACAGTGTCTCTCACAGCACAGAGATAACGGGCAGAGTCGTTCATTTGGAGCTCCGTCAGAAGGAGGTAACTGGACGCACTAGAGAGACTAAGGAATGAAGAAAAATGACCTCTCTTCTCCAAACCATCCAGAACATTGTAAGAGAGAAATGTGGGTGCTCCGCCATCACTTTGCTGGTACCAGAACAGCCCGTTGAACCCAGATGTCTGGTACGTGCAGTTCACCTGGACAAAGTTTCCTTCCATAGCCGTCAACTCAGTGGGTTGCTGAATGTCTTGTCCCACAGTGCCTATGAGAAGACACACACTGTTACCAGGGCAGCACTCCTGGAAGCACATCATCATCAGAAGCACTCGTTTCCTGATAATAGTTGAACAACATGAAGAACATATTCAATGTCACTGAACTGTACATGTGAAAAACCGAACCCACTGCCATGGAGTCGATTCCAACTCATAGTGACCCTATAGGACAGAGTAGAACTGCCCCACAGGGTTTCCGAGGCTGTAAATCTTTACGGAAGGAGACTGCCACATCTTTCTCCCTTGGAGTGGCTGGTGGATTCGAACCGTCAACCTGTTGGTTAGCAACTGCGCACTTAATCACTGCGCCACCAGGGCCCCTTGAACATGTGAAGAGTGTTGAAATGGCAAATGTTTTGTTACCTATATATATATCACAATAAAAAGATATGGAAAAATAATAGTAATAATTTCCTTATGATCACAAAAAAACTGCCATTGACAGAAGAGTCCACTCAAATAAATAAATGGTGGTAGAAAGAGGAGGAGGAAGACAATTGGCACCACACAAGGAAAAAATGTATCAGGAAAGACTCTTCACCTACAAATTTCAGAAGTGGCAAACATTTCACTGAAAGAAAATTATTTTGAAAACTCACAACAGTGTTTGCTATAAGTTGAGACTTACCTCCCATTGTCAAGGAAACGTAAAGAAGGAAAATTCCCCACATCTGCTGCAGAAGACCATGAGACTGGCACTGCATCTCCAGTGTCTAATCTGCTGTAGTCTGCAGAAGATAGAGTCCCTCCATGTAGGTGAGAGAGGAAAGATCAATCTGGAGGCAAAAGTCCAGAAGAAACACAAGGGGAGGAGCTCCTGCTGTGAAGGGGGACATTAAGCTTCTACAGAAGCAACTATGGCTTCCCTCGTAGGAGTTTCTTCACGTGTACATTTTCTACTGACGAACCTTAGAGTTTTAATCCAAGTGATTGTGGCGAATGCCGAGCAACAGAATTGCATGTAAAGAACAGAGAAGATAAACAGGGAGAGTAACATAAGGCAAAGGCAGAAGTAGTCAATTTCCCCATACTAAGTGTTTCTTTTTCTCAAAACAGGATCAAATGGCAACAGGGGTGCAATTAAACATAGAATATGCACATATTGTGTGTGTGTGTGTGTGTGTGTGTGTGTGTGTGTGTGTGTGTGTGTGTGTGTGTGTGTGTTGGTG